GGGTGTGCGACAGGAGCGACCTTCGCGAGGCGCGCCGCGATAGGAGGCCGCGACAGGAGCGACCTTCGCGAGGCGCGCCACGTCCCTGGCTTCCCCGCTGGGCCGTGCACGTGCCGCCGGTCATGATTTGCACCCCCCCCTCTTGGACACCCCCCTCTTGGCCGCTCCCGAGTTGAGGGGCCGCCGAGCCTCCTTGGAAGTGCCAGCGGCTCCAAGACGGCGGTTCCCGCGTCGTGCCTGGTTGCGCCCATTCTGACGTGCAGATCTCCGACGGGGATTTCGGGACGGAGAAGGTCGATGGTTCCGCGCAGCGTGCCAACCCTCTGAGTTCCTCGGTCGTGCTGGGCCGAGCGGGGTGGCCACAGTGGTGCGGAGCTTGCCGAGGGCGCCGCACTGCTTGGGCGAGCGCTCCGGGTCGGATCGGAATCGGAGTTCCCCACGGCGAGGGCGCTCATCGATCGCCTCGGATTCGGGCGTGGCATCTCCGAGCCAGCGCCAGACGCGCGAGCATCGCGGCGGCATTTGGTAGAGCAGCTCTCCACTGGGGCCGCGGTCGCGCATCTTGGATTTCTCCTCATCCGTCACCTCGAAGAGAGGCGTGGCGGCCTGGGTGAACTCAGCCGTCTCTGGCCGTGCGGCGCGTGGCCAGACTTGGCCGGGCCCGGCGAGTTTCTGCCAGTCGCGTGGCTGGTGCGTTCCGCTGGCCGGGAGGGTCCAGGAAGAGACAATGACATGAACATTATTTTTTGGCGCTCCGCGCGGATTTCTTGGATCCGCGCTGGGCCCCCTCCCGGCGGCGCCTCCGGCGCCGCCTCTGGCGCGCTCCGCGCGCCAGGGGGGGTCCAGCGTAGATCGGAGAAGTCCGCGCGGAGCGCCCAAAGTTTATGTTCATGCCGTTTTTTCTTCCCAGAGGAGGCGCTGGCGACGGCGCGGGCCGGCCGCCGCCCGTGGACCGTGAGGTAGGCACATCGATGCGTGGGTGAAGCTCTGGTGTGTACCTGCGGCTTCCTCAGGGGGGCGCGGCGGATCCTCGCCCAACTCTTCTGAGGTTCCCGGGCGGAGCCGGCGGTGGTCGCGCAGAGACAGGCCCTCGAACGGCTGCTATTGCTCGCGGCGATGTGGGTTGACGAGGGGAGCCGATCAATCTGGTCACCTCCGCCGTGGCCGTGCACAGAGCCTCGGAACTGTGCTGGGAGGAACGGTTGGCCCGCGCGCTCCCGCTCGTGCACGACGGCATTCTTCTCAGGCTGCCCGCCGCGGAATCTGGCGGCCCGGGCAGACCTCGAAGACCTGCTTCGCGGACCTGCGCTCGAGACCCTCTGTGACCCGAGCATCCTCAGGCTTCCCGACGACGAGGTCGTGGAGCCTCTGCCCGGATCAGCGTTCTCGTGGACTCCAAGGAGGAGGAAGCGGAGGGAGGAGGAGGGAGGATGGGAATGGGGGGAGAAGAGAGGGAGGGAGGGATGGAGGAGGAGGAGGAGGAGGAAGGAGGAAAAAGAGGAGGAGGAATAGTCGTAATATTATAAATATTGCTAATGCTACCATCAATAATGAGAAGACGAATCGTAATGATAATACGGCGAATAATCATAGTAATAGTAGTAGGGGTAATACTAATACGAATGGCACTAACACGACTACGGCACGACTATTAGTTACACCAATCGTAGTACTGTTATTACTACTGTTACCAGCGCTGGTCATAGCAATAGCACGGCTAACAATAATGTGAATCAGGGACAGTCATTCATACTGATACGAATAAGGGTCACGCTGCTAATCTTTATGGCGGCGAATACGAATAGTACTAATACTACGGCGGATCATCGTACTACTAGCGAGACGAATCATTTCACTCAGCTTCACAATGATATATCATAATGCAAAAATAATAATCACACTAACGATAAGAAGGGTTCTGGGACTACGAATAAGACCATTACTAATGATACGTTGAAGAGAATGATCATATGAACAAAACGAATGCTCATACTAATACGTGCCATACTAATACCAATCGAGGAATGACGGGGCGGGGTGGGGGGAGGAGGAGGCGAGGGAGGAGGAGGAGGAGGAAGAGGAGGAGGAGGAGGAGGAGGAGGAAGAGGAGGAGGAGGAGGAGGAGGAGGAAGAGGGGAAGTATGATGATGATGATGATGATGATGATGATGATGATGATGATGATGATGATGATGATGATGATGATGATGATGATGATGATGATGATGATGCTGATGATGATGATGATGATGATGAGGAGGAGGAGGAGGAGGAGGAGGAGGAGGTGGAGGGCTCCCCCCCTCGTCTTGGCCAAGGTCTGGCAGGGCCACTGCGACGCGACCGCCCGCCAGCGCGAGGAGGTCGAGGCTTGGCCGGGAGGGGCCCGAGGATCGGGGTGCGCGCAGCGGGGGCCAGAGCGAGGGCCAGGGACAACGATAGGAACAGTTCCCACTGACTTCGGACCCGCCGTGCTTTGCTGGATTGTGCAGGCCTTGCGGCCAGTACCGCCGACCCTGAAGACGATGACGACGACGACGACGACGAGGACAAGGAGGAGGAGGAGGAGGAGGAGGAGGAGGAGGAGGAGGAGGAGGGGGAGGGGGAGCAGGAGAAGGAGGATGAGGAGGAGGAGGAGGAGGAGGAGGAGGAGGACGCGGTGGAGCAGGAGGAGGGGGAGGAGGAGGAGGATGCGGAGGATGATGATGTCGGATTCGCTTTACTTTGATTGATTTCCCGCCTTACGGATTGTGTCGGCAATGCACCCCGCACGGAGCGAACACGTCGGGCGGACGTTTCCCACGTCGGGCGGACGTTTCCCCCTCAGAGAAGTAGCAATGCATGGCGGAAACAGCAACGGCAAACGTATGGCGGAAAGCGACATCGAAGGTGATTGAAGTGAATGGTGGGAATTCCCGCCCTATTTGCGAAATAGCTCAAAGTACGGCGGATCCAACGTCATGGAGGGGCATCGTTACAGGAAGTTTCGGGCTTTCGGTTCGAGGTTCTCTGCCGTTTTGGTGGGTTCTCGTCGGTTTTCCAGCCTGGGGGTGCGTTCCAGCAGCTGCGCCTCGCCTAGAGCGTTCAGGGGTTGTCGGGTTCGTTCTGAACGGCCGCCGGAAAGCCGAGTTATGGCCCGAAAGCCAGGGGCAACGATAGGGGAAGATACGCATCGACCCCCGGTCGCGCATTCATCACCGATGGGGGCCTGATAGCCCACCCTGCCCAGGAACCTGCGGCTTCCCTATCGGGGGACTGTCGCCGACTTGTCGGCGATGTGCCCTACCGTTGCCCTTCAGAACGGGGGTCAGCTGGTCAGCCCCGCCCATCGGTTTTCGGATGTTTTCGGGGATCGGAGCGCTTGCCATCGGCTGCGCCTCCTCGCGGGCATTCACGGGGGATGCCCGAGAGGCCGCCTGAGAGGCCGCCTGAGAGGCCCGAGCGGCCGCCTGAGAGGCCCGAGCTGCGACCCGAAAGCCAAGCGAAGGGCAGGTGACGGGTGTCCGCGCTGAAGGGGGTCAGCTGGTCCCCTCCGTACGCCTGGACCGAGGTATAAGATCGAGGTCGGGTCGGGGACGGGTGCGTGCCTCAATGTCATTCGTGCTCATTCGATGCTGCTGTGCATCCCGGGGGAGGGCACCCTCGAGTGATCTCGTATGGTTTGGAATGCTTTGGCCGGCGGAGGGCCTCGTGTTCTCAAAGGGTGCTCCTCTGTCCCATGTCCGACCGTCTTCCTTCCTGGCCGACGCGGGCTTGGGAGCCGCGTGTGGCCGCCCCCCCCCCTCAGTTTTAAGTCGGGCCTGTCCCTCTACAGGAGGAGTATTCAAACACAGTCAAAAAATAACCTGGAGACGATTTTTTTTTTTTTTTTTTTTTTTTTTTGGACTATTTTGGGTTATTGCTTGACTATTTTTTATCTGTCGTCCAAAATCACCTTGTAGGGGGACACGCCCGACCTAACTCCAGTTCCCGTCCCTCCACCGACCCGTGTTTTTTTTTGGGGGGGGGGGCTGCTTCGCAGAGGGCCCCCGGTACGCGTCGTGGCCGTGGCCGACCCGGGTCAGCGCAGCCACGGGTCACCTCCAGGGCTCGAGCTAGACGGTGTTTTGGGTTTCGGTGGGCTGTTCTCGTTTCGGTTCCACGCCGCAGCAGAGAGGCGGAAGGGAGGCAGAACGAAGAAGCACGACAACAACACGAAGGCGAACAGCACTGTTTCGCTCGAGCCCTGGTCAGCTCTTCCACGGCTTGACCCGGTCATCATGCGTCGTCGGTGTGTCGGAGCTCCGAGGCTCGAGGACCGATGCGAGCCCTGGTCAGCTCTTCCACAGCCTGACCAGGTCAGCATGCGCCGTCGGAGTGTCGGGGCTTCGAGGCTCGAGGATCGATGCTTTGGATGCCTGTGGCCTTCTCCTGGCCTCTGGGAGGCCCCTCGCCGCCGCGGTTGGATCCGCAGCCAAGCTCTGCCCAAACGGGCCACTTGAGAGGTCAGAGGCCGTTTTTTTGGGAGGAGGAGGAGGAGGAGGAGGAGGAGGAGGAGGAGGAGGAGGAGGAGGAGGAGGAGCATCGCCACGAAGAAGCCAGGACCCCCGCCTTTCATGCCAAGGACGGCGCTTCCGCCCCCCCCATCGGGCCCCCGCCGCTGGCGGCTCGGGAAGCTCGTCGGGGCGTCGCCCTGGGACGGGTCTGTGGGCCGCTCCCGCACAGACTCGCCCCCCAACGAGGTCGAGGCACGAGCGAGCGGGGCCCGCGAGCAGCCATTTTGGCTCAGGGGAAGCTGTGTCTGCCAGAGTTTTGTGGGGCAGCTTCCCTTCCAGCCTGGACGGTTCCCCCAGGACCGTAGGCGACCCGATGAGGGGAGGGCTAGGAGGGGGAGGAGGAGGAGGAGGAGGAGGAGGAGGAGGAGGAGGAGGAGGAGGAGGAGGAGGAGGGAGGAGGAGGAGGAGGGGTCGCCTGAGCCCTTCGGAGAAACGCTCCTTTCCAGCCGCGCCATGCGGGGAGTGCGGCCGGCCCTTGCCGCCCGCTGGCGGCCGCGGGCGCCCGGCCCGCGCGCGGGCGCCCCGCGGCCCGCGGCGCAGCCGCCGAGGTGTGCCACAGCCTCGCGCCGCGGCGTGGCGTCGCTGGACATGCGCATCGCCCACCGAGCGGCCGGGGGCGGCGGCGTGCTGCCAACCGAGCGCCTGGGGGCGCTGAGGCGCCTGCTCCGCGAGCGCGGCGACCCCAGCTCGGCGACTACAAAGGGTACTCCGAGTTTCTGAATATGCGTCGGGGGGGCGTCCCCCCCGCCGACAGCCCCGCATCGACCCCCGTCGCGGGCAGCCACCGCGGGCCGAAGGCGTTCCGACCCCCGGCGCGGCGCGACGACGAGGCGAGGTTGACCCCCGTCGGGGGGGTACCCCCCCACGCTTACTCAGAAACTCAGAGTATGGTTACGCCGGGGTGTGGTTTGCGATCGGCACCGTTGGGTCCCAGGGAGCACGACACTGTCCTCGCTGGGCCTCCTCGGGGCGCGGCGGAGAGCTCTGTCGAGGTCCCCGCCCGCCCCCCAGGATGCCCCCCAGGGCGCCGGTTGCAAACCACACCCCTTGCAAACCACGCCCTTCGGAGTCGCCGACCAGCAGCGGCTCCGTCGTGCGCGCTATCGAGGTGCACAGCGGCCTCTGTGGCCTGATCGCGGAGCACGCGGTGGCCGCGCGCGCGGACGGCCGCGAGGTGGGCTTCGACGCGATGTGGTCGAGCAGTCTCACCAGCTCGTCCATCAAGGGGAAGCCCGACATCGAGACGGTGGACACCTCGGCGCGGCTGGGCATCGTGCAGGATGCTCTAGAGGTGTCCACCAAGCCGATGATCTATGACGGCGACACTGGCGGGCTGCCCGAGATCTTCCACTTCACCGTGCGCACCCTGGAGCGGCTCGGTGTCTCAGCCGTGATCATCGAGGACAAGGCGGGGCTGAAGCAGAACAGCCTGTTCGGCACCGAGAGGAAGCAGCAGCTGGAAGATGTGGACAAGTTCTGCGCGAAGATCAGGGCGGGCCAGGCAGCCAAGCGGTCGGGCGACTTCATGATCATCTCCCGGCTGGAGGCCATGATCGCCGGCTGGGGGGTGGACGAGGCTCTGAGAAGAGCGAAGGCCTACATAGAGGCGGGCACCGATGGGATCATGGTCCACTCCAAGGAGAAGTCGCCCGACGAGGTGATGCTCTTCATGGAGCGCTACGCTCAGTTCGAGAAAAAGGTGCCCGTCGTCACGGTGCCCACAACGTACAACGCCACGACGGAGGACGAGCTGTATGCCGCGGGCGCGCACGTCTGCATCTACGCCAACCAGCTGCTGCGGGCGTCGTACCCAGCCATGCTCCGCGTGGCCGAGTCCATCCTCGCCCACGGCCGCTCCAAGGAGGCGGACAGCTCGCTGCTCCCGGTCAAGGAGATCTTGACGCTCATCGACGACAACGTCAGCGGCAGTGTTGCCACGAAGAAGGTCGCGAAGAGGGCGGCCGGGCCGCCCAGCACCGCGGCGGCGGCGCCCGCGCGACCCGAGGAGGCGGCGCCCCGGCTGGAGCTGCAGCCGCTCGAGCCGGCGCGGTTGCTGAGCGAGCTGCGGGGGCGCGGCGTGGACTGCTTCGCGGGGGTGCCGGACTCGCAGCTGAAGGACTTCTTGAGCTGCCTGGAGGACGAGGCCGCCGCCAGCGATACGCTGAACCACGTCATCACGCCCAACGAGGGGTCGGCGATCGCACTGGCAGCCGGGCACCACCTGGCAACAGGCGGCTTGCCTCTGGTGTACATGCAGAATTCAGGGTTGGGCAACGCCGTCAATCCGCTGACGAGCCTCGCCGACCCGCTGGTCTACAGCATCCCGATGCTGCTCCTCGTCGGCTGGAGAGGCGAGCCCGGCGAGAAGGACGAGCCGCAGCACCTGTTCATGGGCAAGGCCACGCCGAAGCTGCTCGACGAGCTGGGCATCCCGCACAGGTCGCTGCCCCGCGACCCGGTGGGCATGGCGGCCGCGCTGGACGAGGCCACCAGGAGCGCCCGGGATCGATCTGCGCCCTTCGCCCTGCTGGTCAAGAAGGGCACCTTCAAGAAGCACGCCCCGCGGCGGCCAGTGGCGGGCGAGGGCCTGCTGCTGCGGGAGGAGATCATACGGGCGGCGCTCCCGCTACTCGGGCCCGAGGACGCCGTGGTGGGCACCACAGGCTACACGTCGCGCGAGCTATTCGAGCACCGCGAGGCCTGCCGCCAGGACCACTCCCGCGACTTCCTCACCGTGGGCTGCATGGGCCACGCCTCGGCCATCGCCTTGGGCGTGGCGCGCGCCCAGCCAGCGAGGCGGCTAGTGTGCTTCGACGGCGACGGGGCCGTGCTCATGCACATGGGCAACCTGGCCGCGGTCGCCGCGAGCGGCTGCAGCAACTTCAAGCACGTGGTGGTGAACAACGCGGCGCACGACTCCGTCGGGTCGCAGCCGACGGGGATGGAGGGCGTCGACGTGGTTGGACTCGCCAGGGCGCTGGGCTACAGGTGGGCAGCGCGCGCCGCTTCCGCCAGCGAGCTTGCGCTCATGTTCTCCCAGCTGCTGGAGGCAGATGGGCCGGCGCTGCTAGAGGTGCGGTCGAGGCCCGGCGCGCGCAAGGACCTCGGGAGGCCGACCACCACGCCAGGGCAGAACAAGGAGGCCTTCATGTCCTTTTTGCGCCGCAGGGCGCTATGAACTGTGGAAGAGCATGGTCGCCTTGGGCCTTGACAGCGGTGGTGCACGTCTTCCCAGTTTTCCGCTTCGGGGGGCGATATCGCTGGCCGTTTGGGCCTCGGGGGATATATGCCCACGGTGCACTTCGCCTTGTCTCCCAGGCCACGGATCACTGCCCAGGCTCACCTACGGCAGGTTGGCTCGTGCGGCGCTCCCGGCTTACCCGGCGGCCGTCTGTCTCATGCTGTAGCGCCAGACGTGTTGTTGCGAGATTCGGTGGCCGCGTTCTCTCTACATCAACATCACATACTCGAGCTGAATCGCCTTCATCACGAGGTTGTCCCTGAGGAGTGTGGGCTCTGAGCCAGCCGGTGCAAGACGATTTCTGTGTCGTGGAACAGGACAGATGCCGATGCGCGGCCGAGACTCCCGAGGCCCGAAGGAGTGAGTCGCAATCACACCAAAGGGAAACACGTTTTCGGCTGGCGGTTTGATTCCAGGCGTCGAGCATTTTCAGCAGGCATCGTGTGATGGTTTTGTCGCGCGGGCGTTGTTGACGGATGCCATATCACCGCCTTTGGCCTCCTCCCCACCTCCTTGTCGTCTAGCCAGCCCCTCCAGGGTTGACCGTCTCTTCGCCTCCGTCGCCTGTCCCTCCCCGTCCTCCTCGTGGCGCGGGAGAGAAACGAATGTTTCCTCTCAATCGGCGGGTCATCTGGGGCTCTGGTTGAAGGCACTTTCGCAGGGCAGGGGCGCTGCGGCTGGCACGACACGCTGCCTCCGACGGCTGCTCTCTCTCTTTCTCTCTCTCTCTCTCTCTAGCCTCCTCCAGGCACGCGAGCGAACCGGCGCTTGGCCTCTCTGGGGCCAGCATTTTGGGGGGCGAGCGTCGGTAGGATATGTAGAAACTTTCCCGACGTCGGCGGCGCGCGGTTCCCGGGGCGGCTGGAAAGCTTACAGTACCACGACGTGCCGCCGCATGGAGGAATGAGCTCTCCAGCCGCCCCGGGACGGGCGCCCGCGGGGACGGGCAGTTTTATATGTTGCACCTTTTTCTTCCGCCCGCGGAACAACGCTTGCCCCACAGTCAACCCGCATGGTAAGGATGGGCAGCCTTCCCAAGGGGTACCCTTGCATCCTTGCCTCCTCGGTCCATCCTTGGCCACTTTCGTTGGCCGCGCCGTACTCGAGAAGCTTCGAAATGAGCCTCCGAGGCCCTTGCGTCCTTACCAAGGGAGGAGGGAGGACGGAGGAGGGAGAAGTGGTACGGTTTGTACATCCTTCCAATTTCAGGTGGGGGTTTGGGGTGACCGGGGCTGCGGTGACGAGGTTCGCGCCGACTCGTGGGGACGTCAGCGTGTGGGCATTCGAGGTCGAAAGCTGCCAACGGCCCAGAATCGTCCGATGCCGGGTGAACTCCGCCAGCGGAAGGCCGCGATCGTTCAAGGTGGAGTGATCCACGGTGTGTTAGAAGCGAGTGCCAGCGTCATCGCGACGCGAATCCACCGTGCCTCTGGTGGGAGTTCGGGGTTGGCGGGGCTGCGCAGCCTCTACGAAGTCGCTTTCGTTCTCTCCGGGCCAGGCCGTGGCAGGTTCCGACACAACTCCGCCGGACTTCGAGCTTCTGATCGGCCTGCCCCGCCCAGGTGGGGTGTGAATGGGGTGGTGGTGGTACTCCTCAGAGTCAGAAGCACCGAGTATGTGGCGTTGATTCTTCAAAACGATCTGAACCATGGGCGCACGGAGGAGGCGTCGTGGCAGGAATGACAGGAGCGCGCAGGCGGCGTGGACGTCTAGGGCGGTCTTGGGGTGGCCTCCTAAGCGGCCCAAGATGCGCCCAAGAGGCCTCCAGGGCGGGCCCTCAGACGATATTTGGCCATGTTGGGAGCATGGGCTTCCGACCACGCTCCCTAGGCCTCCTGGACAAGTCCCCGCGGGTATCCCTAGGAGTTCAGGCAGTTGGGGGCCTGGGCCCTTACAGGAATACCAGAACCCTCGATACCGAGGACGCCTTAGGTACTAGGAGGATGAGGAGGAGGAGGAGGAGGAGGAAGAGGAGGAGGAGGAGGAGGAGGAGGAGGAGGAGGAAGAGGAGGAGTAGGAGGAGCAGCGACAGTGGAGGCGAGCAGCACCAGCGACAGCAGCGCGGCATTCTACGGCAAGTGTCTCCCAGACATCCCAGTTGGCTCCCTCCTGAATGTGGGCCGGCAGAAGCGTCGAGGAGGAGAGAGAGGAGCAGCAAGACAGAGTAGGACCGTGTATTCCAAGCGCAGGTGTGGCACGGTCAACCGTACTCGACTTCTCGTGTCCCCCTCCTGGCGGAGGGGGGGAAGGGTTGGAGCTGGTGTTCTTCGCTGACTGCCCCCTCTCATACACTGGCTCTCAGAGCCTCCTCGTGCCCGGAAGTAGGCTTCCGTCGGGCCTGCCCCTCTACAGGGGGAGTATTCCAAGTAGTTGAAACATAGCATGGGGACGATCTTTGGGCTATGCTTGAACATGTTGGAGTAGTTTTTGGTACTTTTGATTTTTCTTCCAAGATCTCCCTGTATGGGGGACAGGCCCGACCTAAAAATAGGCATATCGGATAAGATTGGCGCGTGCCGCGCCCTAGGCCCAGCAGTTTGGCACAGCGACCGCACTGCTGCTCTCTGGTAGTTCTGGGGGGACCAGAGTCCATAGGACAGAGCTTTCTCGTTGGATCTCGTTGAGTATTTTCTCGGAGAGTCGGCTTTTGACCTCGAATGTTGACTCTCTGAGTGTCGGCTTCTCTCACGTGTTTCCTCTGAGTCTCTGAGAGGCCTGGGAACACCCACTGAGGGCCTAACGACACGGTGGCGGATGTGATGTATTATGGGACCGCTGCGTTCATTTATATGGCTCACTATGGGGGCTAATTGATCATTAGAGTCACATGCTATGTGAGGGGCTGTTTGCCTGCGAGGGGGGGGGGTCCACATGAGCTGTTCCTCACAGTCGTCTTGGGATTGCTTCTGGAAAGCCCTTGGAGGCGCCCAAAACGGTCCAAAGAGGGCCCTCAAGACCCCCACAAGGTCCATAGGTCCATAGATTATGACCTGAGAAGGGGCCCACAGGACGCCCCATGAGGGCTCCTAGACACCCCAAGATGGCCCAGGCAGGAGGGCACTAAGAAATCCTCAGAGATGTAGGACGCCTCCGAGAGGCTGGGACGGTGCCAGGATTCCCTTTGGGTTTGCTCTGGGGAGGCCTCCCGGGAACCTGATAAGGCTCCCACCACGGCTCTCAGAGAGGGCCCTCGGACGGTTCAAGGAGGCTCGGAACACCCCGAGCGTGGCCCGACGGTTCCGGATGCTCTTCCAACGAGGGCCCCCAAGAGGAGGCTCAAGAGGCCCAGCAGGTCCCCGAGGCGTCTCAAGAGTGCTCCAGGTGTCGAGAGATTGAAGACAGCTGGCGAGGTCCCAAGAAGCCCCGGGCCTCAACCACGGACCGAATACGTGTTCGAGATTCTTGAGGAGGTTCCGAGTCCCGCGGAGCTAGTTCTGCGACGGTTCCGCATGTGTCCCATTTCGGGCGGGCACGTGTTCGCACGCGCGCGGACGCCCGCCCGAAGGAGCGGCGCATCCCGCTCTCGTCCAGGCAGGCTTCTGCACGAGGGCCAGACCTGAGTGCATCCCACATTCTGTCTGTGTTCGCGCCGCCCTTGTTGTGACCAGCCGGCAGTGGAGCCCCACTTTCCACGGACGACCTATACGCATTCTATCGCTTTGGCGTCTCTCCAGGCGTCGTCGACCTTCGACCCCCAGGAATGGTGCGGTGCTCAGTTCTTCGGCCCGCAGAGCCCAGCAGCTGTGCACCATGCCGCGTCGTGGCAAGGCCTGGTGGGAGCCCGAACATGGCACGGTGCATGAGCGCCGTTCTCGTGCACGGAGTAGCTCACGCATTTGTCGAGCATGCTTCTCTGACGCACGGATGTTTGAGGAGCTATGTGCAGGGATTGCCACTCGAAGCGCCACTCATCAGCCGCGACGTCAGCCGCGAGGCCCTGGATTCATCACCCGCCAGTCTGCATGCCTGTGCGAAGGTCTTCCGTGGCCAGAGGAGCCCGACGGGGCCAGAGCTGCCACCCCCGTCGCTTCGCGCTTGAAGGAGGGGGCAGTGGCCAGAGCGGACGTCACTGCTATCGTGGAGTAGATGTGCCACTTGCTCGCCCTCGGGGAGACCCTTCCATAGCGGCGCGAGGGCCTCGATTTTTCGTATCCCCTGGCGATGCGAGGTCGTTGCCATGGGGGGGGAAAGAAGGGGCAAGGGTGTTGGGTTACGTCACGATTCGCGCTGGCGCCTTCTGGGAGTTCGCTACCCCTAGCAACTCCGAAACGGCGCCCGCGCGAAACGTGACGTTACCAGGTTGGGGTGGAGGGGGGGGGAGCCTCCCTGGTAACGGCCGTTACCGCGAATCGCAAACAAATCACGCCCTGGGAATGGTTTTCTTCACCCAAGGATCCCACACCTCCGACGCGGTGTATCTTTCGCGACGTGGACCCCAGAGGTCTCGAGGAGGAGGGAGGAGGGAGGAGGGAGGAGGGAGGAGGGAGGAGGGAGGAGGGAGGAGGGAAGAGGGAGGAGGTTGAGAAGGAGGAGGAGGAGAAGGAGGAGGAGGCGGAGGATTACCCAGGATTGCCCCAAACCGACGCAGTCGGAAACGCCTCTGGAAGGAGGCTCACTTGAGAGGACCCACAGACCCATCTTAGTGGAGGGCTCGCCCCCCTCACACTTACACTCCTTACCGAGATCCCTTATGTGGCCCACACCCTTCTGCGCCCTGCAGCCACGACGCGTGCACACACAATACGGCTCATAGTACGTCAGGGTGTGGGACCAGTGCACTATGCGGGAGCTGATGGCTATACAAGCACGCGCTTGGGGCTGGAGCGAGGGGGGGGGCCAGGGCACTCGGTACAACGCCAATTGTGCAGTACACGATTGGATGCACTCGTGCTCACGCTGCTCTTACAATACATACATGCCCATCGCGCGCGGCCCTCCTGCACGAGCTTGTGCGAGGAGGACTCCTGCGCGCGTGAGATTGCCGACGGCTTCGACCTGTGGAGGAACCTCCGCTCCTGCCGCAAGGTCGGGGCGGCACGCTCCTCGGACTCGAACGCACACAAAGTGGCCCTCGCAATGCGGAGCCTGATCAACGCCAGCACAGAATTTACCCATTTGAAACAATCAAGTTGGTTCCGCGGGATGGCGTGAGCCTCGGCGGCTCTTGCCGCCATTTCATCTGCAATCTGGTTCCCTACACAGGCTAAAAGAGGGACCCCACGGGCGATGGCCTCCTGGGGGGCTAGGTGGCTGTTGAGGAACTTTACAGTGACAACCGCAGAGCCTCTCGAGCGCCACTCCGAGCCTAGGGATTCCCAAAGGTCACCGTTCACTGACCAGCTGGCTGGCTTGAGGTGTCTCCTCCTACTCTAGCCCTTGAAAAGAATGTCACTGTCCGTCCAGTACTCTACTTCACCGCTGGTGTGCTGGAGGACGGAGAGGAGACTCGTCATTTCAGCACGGTTGTTCGTCTGCCTGTGTCCCGCGAGGGGGCCAAACGCCCCCCCCCCCATCAGGGCTGGGCTTTCTGGTGGGCCCTCCGGCAGGCACCATCCCCAGCCGCAGCGGCGGTACCTCGGGTCGGAGGCCTCCTCGCCTCCGCTGCCGTCGCCGCAGGCGAAGTGGCGCCCCGCCTCGGGCGCCAGGCGGGCCCCACCAGCTACCGCCCCCAGCGGCCTCGGCGCATGCCGCGTGGCGCAGGGCGGCGGCACCGTCCAGCTGCAAGGCGCCAGGCCGCGGAGCCAGAAGGCGGGGCAGTCCTGGTGGCCTCTCCCCGCGCGCTCGCAGAGGCTCGCCGGCTTGTCGGCGTCCTCGTGCTGCGGGCGGCAGGGG